TTTCAAACCACTCCCCTAATGGGGTGGGTAGTGTGTGAACAGCATGTGATCATCTCCCTGGTTGGGCTAGAAACACACACAAAAAATACAGAGTCCTCTGTCCTAGTTTGCTTTCTGTTACTGTAATAAACACCATGACTAAAAGCAACTTGGGGAGGAAAGGGTTTATTTGACTTTCAGTCCATCATTGAGGGAAGCCAAGGCAGGAACCCGGAGGCAGGAACTGAAGTAGAGACCACTGAGGAATGCTGCTTACTGGCTTGCTTCCCCTGGTTTATTAGTTACTTTTCTGTTGTTATGATAAAAAAAATCATGACCATGGTGCTGGAGAGGTGGCTCAGTGGTTAAGAGCACTGTCTCCTCTTGCAGAGGACCCAAGTTTAATTTCCAGCACTCACATAGTGGCTAATAACTGTCTATAACTCCAGTTCCAGGGGAATCTGACACTCTCTTCTGACCTCTGTGGGCATTGTGCAACATGGGTGCACTTACACACTTGCAGGCAATACACTCATACACATAAAATAAAGTAAAATTTTAATAAGCAAAATACTTAAAAAAAAAAAAACCGAAACATGACCAAGGCCACTTGTAGAAGAAAGAGTTTATTTGGTTTACAGTTCTAGATGGAGAGTCCATATGGTAGGGGACACATGGCAGCAGGTGGCTGGAGCAGAAAGCTAAGCATTCACATCTTCAAACAGGCACAGGATACAGTGAAGCTGGAAATCTAGCAAGGCTTGAGGACTCTCAAAGCCCGCCCCCCAGTGATGTGTTTCCTCAAGCATGGCTGCTCCTTCTAAATGTTCCCTAACCCTCCCCAAACAGTCTCATGAACTGGGGACAAAGTGTCCAAATACTTGGAGCCTATGGGTACACTCATTCAAGCCACCACCCCTGGATACCTTTGTTATACAGCCCAAGCCCACCTGCCTAGGGATGGCACTGCCAACCGTGACCTGGGTCCTCCTATGTCAATTAGCAATCCAGGAAATGCCCCACAGACATGCACACAGGCCAATCTGATAGAGAAATTCCTCAACTGAGGGTTTCTTTTCCCAGGTATCTCTAGTTTTGTGTCAAGCTGACAAAACCAACCAGCCCACCCTCTAATCAGCCAGCTAATGAAATTACCTCAGCCGTTGTCCAGTTTCTGCTACAAATCCTATAAAAAACACCTAGACAGAGAAATCTAACAGCCTTTCCCCTCCCAGTCTTGGGAATTTCTCTCTTACCAAAGCTTGTTCCTATTTTTGTTATGACCGCAAGTGCCCACCTCTTTAATCTTCACTGGTGTGACAATGACTTTTGATGGACGTGGAGTTTCTGGTGTTTTCAAGCCTCTAGGTCAAGCACAGCTAGGCAACGAAAGGTCCCCTTGCACACTCAAAACTGCATCACCGTTTGACGTCACCCCCAGGAACACATGGCAGTTGCAGCTGCTGCTCCCTATGGCCTTTCTATACCAGGCTTGCTCATCACACTCCACAGGTGGGCTTATGCATTGGTTCTCCTTCCCCTGATGACTAGTGGAATGGGCATTTGCTATTCTCATGCTGTGCCCACTTGATGAGGCCGTTCAACTCTCTGGATCTTTGTTGCTCTGCAAAGCTCTCCCAGGCATTAAGTTGGAGATTGGTCTTCTTCATCTGCAGACTCCAGAACCACCTCAGGGACTGGGCAGCCCTCAAAACATCAGTTACCACTTGAGAAGGAGAAGCAGGTTTCTGACTCTTGTTGGATATGGAGGGTCAGATGATGGGGTCAGATAACAGAGGTGGGCTGCACATACTCCATGTTCCCATCAGACATAGCTGCTCCCAGTGATGTTGAGCCCAGAGATAAGCTGGGGACCATGGTAGTCTGCTAGGCCCCACAATCCCTCAGACAACCTTATGGACCCCATTCCCTTTGAGGCTACCCTCCCAGGATGAAGAGGGCATTGTAACTACAGGCTCCTATGGGGAGGACTAGGGCCAGGTGTTGCCCCTCTCCAACTCTGGCCAACGTAAAGGACAACAGAGCATCCTGATAAACAAGGTGTCAGCATTCCCACAAACCCTGGCTTTATAAGACCAGTGGTTCTGGTTCCATGTGAGCCAGAGAATGGAGGGAATGAAGGCATGAGCCCTGATGGGAGCCCTGTGCCTTCAACCCCCTGGGGCTACCTGCCGGCCAGGACAGAAGGGAGGTCTGTTGTCTTCTTAGGGAAACCTGCCTCTGGCTCTCACTGTCTAGGAGAACACTGGGCTGGTTTAGATGACCCTGGACATAGTGACAGAGGTTGTTGCTCTTCACACTGTAGGTTGTGGGAGGCAGGAGGTGGGGAAATGAGGATGTGGGGGCAGCGGGAGCCTGTGGCTATTGGAACTGCTAGGAGAAGGTAGTTGATGCAATCTCAGCAAACAGCAGGAATGGGTGGCTGGGTTCAGTCACCTACCAACCTATAGCCTCTACTGTGGGCACCTTAGGCTGACCAGGGTGTTACGAGGGGCTGGCCAGAGATTCACTGTGTGGGAGGCAGGGCACATTGGGCCCTGAAGAGCTGCTTATTGGTGTCTGGTCACCTGTGGTTATTCATGGCAAGGAAGCCTCCAGGAAGAGGTAAAAAGTTCGTGGGGATAAAGGATGGGGCATGAGAGGTTTACAGGGACTCAGGTTTAGGCAGGAATGGCTGAAGGTCTTGGCTTGGTGACAGTCAGTGGCTGGTGTGGCAGCCGCCACTGACTTGCTGTGGTTTTAGAAAATTCCTCACTGTGCTTCAGTTTCTCAACCTGGAGTCAACCCTAATTCTATGAGATCAGAGGCTTCCCCTGGACTCCAACAAGGATCTGTGACAGCCAGGCCTTAATAGACCCATAATCCTTCTTGGCCAGGGTCTGTGGTGACCACTCTGGGCATCTGGGACAGGAGACCTTGGGATGAGGAGACCTTCAGTGAAAGGACCACAATGTTACATTGAGGACCGGGACAATCAAGGCCCATCTGAATCTGGGATGCAGACCTTGGGTGACCAGGATGGGCCTGGGCAACAGGGAAGGTAGTCTCACAGGGAATACCTTCCCTGCCTCCTCCAGGCTTGGGCTCCCTGCCCTGCCCCATCCCAGCCTCTGGCGTCCCTCTCAGCTCCTGAACATGTGGAGGAAGGATGCTATAGGCTACTTCAGGTGACCAGTGTGTCTGCCTGGCAAGGCGCCTCAAGCCACCCACCTGTTAATAAACTAGTTTATGATGAGAAAGCTGAGGAAAGAGTTGGGTGTCTGAGTGGGGACAGGGTGGCCAAGACCAACAGTCCTTCATGTTCACTGGTGTGCGCCTCTTCCCTACTCTCTCCCCATTTTTCCTTTCCTTTTCTACCGAGATGCCTGCCCTCCATTAGCAGAAAGGGTCTTGGCATGTTCCTGTGGTAGAATCTCATGGCTGTGTGGGAAGTACTCCAGTGTGGGTCTACCCACACCCTAACTACATTCTGCTGTCTCCCAGGTCAACCCCCACGAAAGGATAACAAGGCAGTGGAGACTCTAATGGCTGCGAACTTCCTTTGGCACTTGGCCAGATCTGCATTTGCAAAGCTCTACCCTCCAGTGAAGCTTTTCAGAGACCATAGGCCCTCTCCTGACCATGGCCCTAACCAGCTGCATGGCAGACTCCCACCTTACTCTGAGTAGCTAACTCATCCAGGCACCTTCTTCAGCCCTACAGATCCTGCTGCCCTTCCAGATTCCTGGGGAATGGTTTCAGTGCCATATCCAGTAGATACTGATCCATGGGGGTCTTTATCTGATTAGATCTGATTTCATCTGGGCAGATATGGTTGGGTCTGTTGTAATCTGGTTAGGTCTGGTTTAATCTAGTTGGACATGGATTAGATCTGGTATAATCTTCTTGGATTTGATTTGGTCTGGTATAACTTGGTTGAATCTGGTCTATTCTGGTTGACTCTGGCTTAATCCTACTGAATCTGGTTTGATCTGGTTGTTCTGGTCCACCTTTGGTTGGGTCTGGTTTGGATTTATTTAATCTGATTGGTCTGGTATAGTCTGGTTTAGTCTAGTTTAATGTGGTTGGATCTGGTTTGGTCTGTTTAATCAGGTTTAACCTGGTTACATATAGTTTAGTCTGATTTAACCTGGTTAGAAGTGGTTTAATCTGATGTATCTGGGTGAATCTGGTTTGTTTCTGCTTTAATCTGTTTGGATTTATTTGGGTCTAGTGTATTGTAGTTTAATCTCATTGAGTATGGTGTAATCTGGTTGGGTCTTGTCTAATCAGGTCAGATTTGGTTGGTATACGGAATAGTTCAGTTGTCAGCTTGACATATCTGGGAAGAGAGAACCTCAATTGGGGAATTTTCTCTATCAGATTGGTCTGCAGGCTTGTCTGTGAGGCATTTTCTTGATGGTTGAGTGATGTGGGAGGGCCCAGTCATTGTAGGTCACTCTACCCCCTAGCCAGGTGGTCCTGGGTTGTATAAGGAATCAGGCCAGAGGAGCAAACCAGTAAGCAGTGTTCCTCCATGGCCTATGCTTCAGCTCCCGTCTCCAGGTTCCTACCTTGCTTGAGTTCTCTCAGTAACGAACTGTGACTTAGGAGCATAAGCCAAATAAATTCTCTCCTCCCCAGCAATAGAAAATAACTAGGACAGTTGGGTCTACTATAATTTTCTTGGACCTCATTTGGTTTAATCTGGTTGAATCTAGTTGGCATGATTTAATCTGGTTGAATTTGGTTGGTTGAAACTGGTCGGGTCTGGAGTAATCTGGCTGGACAACCCTATCAAGCCCTAGTGTCTCCTGATTTGGCAGTGCAAGGTGCTGTGCTTCCCAGCACCACAGCTCCCTGGTATGGTAAAGCTTTCATGCCCTGTGTCTTCCTCCCAAACATGGATGGGTAGTGTCAATGGGCCAGGGCAGCTTTTCCTCTGCCCTGGGGTCCCTGGCATCGTTTCTCTTTCCAAGTGTGTTAGGTAGTGTGGGCAGGTACAGGGAAGAACCACAGAGGTAAATATAAACTTTTATTAGCAGAGTTGCCTCCAGACTGAGGAGAATGAGGGAACAGGAAAAAAAATTATCTAAAGAGGGTCTTCAATAAGATGAAGGATGAGCCGCAATTTTGAGGAAAAAGAGCTCTGGATTCTGACAGAACACTTAACACGTGTACTGTCCAGGTCAGACCTCTGTATAAATGTGGGGCCCTTGTGGGCAGCACTTTGGCTCTTGGAGTACAAGGACGAGAGGCTGGAGCCAGCATCCTGCTCCTCATGCTGAGCCACAACGGGCCAGGACCAAGGTCTACATTGGTCACTGACAAGCACCTGATGAAGAAGAGTGGGCTCCTTAAGGTTTGTGTTTGAAAATCCTCTTGATCTCAGTTTCCCAAAAGCCATAATCCAACAAACTGAACTGATGGGCAGGGCTTGCTTTGACTTTGAGTAAGATGTGACTCACAGGGAAACCGCAGGAGTGCTGTGAAGATACCAGAAACAGAGAAGGAGTAGCGAGAAAGGAATTGAGATGGCTGGACACAACCCAGGTACAGAAGGAGGTCGGCAGGGTAGCTGCAATGCTGCATGAATCAAGGGAGGGTTACAAACAGGAGCTGGGGTGAACCACGGAGGACATGATACAAAGTAGTGTGCATCTCGGCTTTCCAAGCGTTCCCTTTAAAACAGTCAAGCTGACCAGTTGGTCAGGAAAATTCAGGTCACATTTTCTTTTCCTGTTTGGTCAGTGGCGGGAGGGGCAGGGAGGCCTGTCAAAGTGTGCCCCCACGTGTATAGTCATATGGGTGACCCTCTAGCCCAGTGCCACCTTCCTGGAGACTGTCTGGTAGAAGACACCGCGAAGCAAGGCCTGGTAACTCGGCACGCGGAATAGGTGGCGCTCACCAAAGGCCACGTCATACTCTGCGGTCTTGCCAGTGACCAGCACTCGGATATGAGGCTCATTCACCTGGGGTCCCACCACCACCACAAAGATCTCAATGCCTGCACGCTGGGCCTCCTGCACAGCCTTCTCAATGGCCTCTGCTGTGGCCCCCTGTGAATTACCATCTGAGAACAACAGCACCCTCTTCTTGGTGCCTCCTGAAGAGGCTTCCCGGTAGAAGCGCGTTACGTAGCTCAGGGCGTCATTGATGTCAGTGGCATCGTTGAAGAAATCCATGTTGTCCACAGAGTTGGCCAGCACAGTGTAGTTCTGTAAGAATTGAAGAGCTGGTCGTCCCGGCTGTTGCTGGCCCGGGCCGCTGTACTGTACCACGGCCACCCGCACATCCTGGGAGGGATCCGTCCGGCCTGCAGACAGGAAGCGCTCAGCCAGGCGCTTGGCGAAGAGCTTGGTAGTGTCGAAATTGTGGCTGCCTACACTGGCAGAGCCGTCCAGCAGGATGGTGATGTCAGCAGGGGAGGAGAACGTGACTATGGGGCAGAGATGGAGTCTTAAGCACTCAGACTAGGCTGCAGAGAGCCCGCCAGAGGGTACCCAGCTTTGCAGAGCTGCCAAGCACCAGAGGAGAGATCCCAGAGCCCTGCCCCACCCCAACCCAGAACTTACTTGGACAGGTATAATCCGGACACTTCTTGTCTGTAAAGAGAAGTCACACAACATGAATGCCACCTCCCCATGACCCTGTACACCACACCTACTCTGAGCTCTGCCCTGGCCAGCTGCCTGCTCTACCCACGCAGTCCCTAACTCACGAGAGACAGCCCAAGCACCATTTCCTGGTCCTGGTTCCAAAACACAGAGGGGCAGGGTAGGGCTTTGGCCCTTCTTAAAAGGGGAAACTGGGGCTGGAGAGATGGCTGAGCGGTTAAGAACACTGACTGTTCTTGCAAAAGACCCAGGTTCGAATCTCAGCACCCACATGGCAGCTAACAACTGTCTGTAACTCTACTTCCAGGGGATCTGACAGCTTCTCCTGTCCTCTGCGGGCATTGCACGGCACGGGTGCACTTACCTACATGCAGGCAATACACGCATACACAATAAAATAAAAATAATAAATAAAAATTTTTTAAAAAGGGAAAACTGAGGGGCTGGAGAGATGGCTCAGCGGTTAAGAACACTGGTTGTTCTTGCAGAAGACCTGGATTCAAATCCCAGCACCCACATGGCAGCCAACAACTGTCTGTAACTCCAGTCCCAGGGGATTCAACAGCCTCTTCTGACCTCTGCACAACACAGGTCCACTTACCTACATGCAGGCAATACACGGATACACATAGAATAAAAAGAAAAAAAAGATTAAAAAAGGGGGGAAACTGAGTCTCAGAGAAGGAGAGGTGGTCTGCAGGTCGGGTGCTGTACCATGCTGCTGACCAGATGCCCACTATGACTGTAGCCCTTGACCTGCTGACCAGTGTCTGTATCATGTCAGGAGGACTGCTGGGCTGAGCTCCATGGACATATAGTGCAAGCCCATGGTTTCAGAGTGGGGGGTCTGGGTGGCCCATGCATGTGGCATGAGAACATTCTGCCCTGCTTGGACCAAAGGTCACCCTGGACAGTGCCACGCAGCCTGACTCTCCTGAGGCGACAGTGCCAGGCAGCTTCCTGGGAATGTTTCTAGGCTAAACAGCTCCAGAGAGCTGAGGGGCTATGTCTAAGACAGGTCAGTGCACTGCCCACCCATCCTGTTGGTCCCTGGTGCTGACCTATGCAGATCTGGGCTGTGATGTTCTTTAGGAAGGTGTCGTCCAGAAGCTCTGCATAGCTCTCCTTCACCAGGGAGATGCCTGGCCGGCCTTGGGATAACAGGCCTTGGCAGGAAATGACATTGAGCTGGTCAGAGCCCGCAACAAAGCCAAAAACATCCTTGATGCCCACGGAGACCACCTGCACAAGACAGATTGTGTGAATCAGCTTCATCCTGTGCATTCTTCTCCCCTGGGGAATAATGCCCACGTTTTCAGGAGGCCCTGTGTGGCCACCGTTGGAGTTGTGCAGCACTGCCAACCTGAATATCTGGGCCACAGAGCACACTGAGGGGTGTGGTGTCCCTTTGAGTATCAGAGCGCCCATCTGTGATGACCAGAGCAATGCGGTTGTTCTGGGTAGGTGGTAGCAGCCGGTCCCGGGTGTACTGCAGTGCCTCTCCTGTGAACGTGCCACCCGCCATCCACTGCAGCTTCTTGACAGCCCTGCACAGTAAGAGGAAAGTCAGGTCAGGCCAGAGTCTAGCTAGGGCTTGGGTCCCAGTCAAGGTCAAGCCCACTCTGGAGCACTCTGGGAGAAGGCAGCGAGCTGGGGGAGCTTCTCACTCTTTGAAGTCCTGAGCGTTGCGGATGTTGGGGCTCCGCATGTCCACATGCTCCTGCATCTGGTTGTGGCTGTACTGCACCACGCCTGCATGCGACTGCCCTGGCTCAAACTGTAGGAATGATGCCATCAGATCTAGAGCCCAACATCCCACGGTCCTAGCGTCCCAGCTGCCAGGGGCCTCTCCACTAAGGCTTAGGACCCTGGCCTGCTCATTCACACAGGGCTCTCCAGAACTGCTCTTGCTGGGTCTGCAAGGCTCTGTAGACAGCCCTCTCAGGTTCTGTCCTGGGAGGATGAGGCCTGGGCCCACCAGCAGGATTCAAACCGCACTCTGGAGACCAGCAGGGTGCTGCTCTGTCTCTGTGCCACCTGGGAAGGGTCAGAGACCTCACCAGGTGGAAATGGCAGCCATGTATGCAGTGATGAGCAGGGAAGCTGAGGTCGGGGGCTCAGCCCCCTACTGACTCCATCTGTGTCCACAGGCTGGCTGTGCTCACCTTGACCAGCTCATCCTTGCTCAGTCTGTCAATGACCTTAACAATGAAGTCCTTGGCAATCTCGAAATTCTGCAGGCCGATACTCTCAGAGCTGTCCAGCACGAAGAGAATGTCGATGGGGCCACATGTACATTCTAGGGGGTGGGATGGGCCAGCTCTCAGTGCCTCTTCACAGGCTTCCCTCAGTGCTCCATTGTCCCACCCCACACTGTGGCCCCTGAAGCCTCTCCCATGTCTCCTTAGGAGGTGGGCTTATCAGGATGGCCTCCTTTGGCCAGGTCTAGCAGGGTCGAGCCCTGCCCCTTCAGCCTAACTCTGATACTGTGAAAGAGTGAGCAGGACAGGCCTGGGGGGTCTAGCTCCTGCTCCAGCCCGCTGATGGTTGCATGAAATGCTGGGGAGAGGATGGGATAGCCATGTCTCTTTTCTGACTAACCCCTGAGAACACACTGGACAGGCAAATGAGTGAGAAAGAGTAAGGGGTGAGGGTTGTGAGCACATGGCTGCTGCTTTGTCAATGCAGATGAGGGCACTGCTGGTCCACTGTGGAGCCAGGGCGCATATACTTAATGCCACGCGGGAACTCCCAGGAGTGAAGTGGTAGAACTCACCGCAGCAGGCTGTGGAGAGAAGAGACGGCACTAAACAGAACAGCTCCAGATTACAAGGTGTCCCAGGTCCCAGTCACCCCACAGGTGACCCTCAGCCCAGCTGCATTCAGTTCCACCCAGCTCTGGCCTTGCCCTCAGCATGTCAGAGTCCCTACAGTCTCAGGGGATGTGAAGCTGAGTCCTGATTCTCCCCTGTAGTAGGCCACATCTGCTGGTCTTAGTAGAAGCTCAGGCCCTGCCTGCTTGCAGCTCTGAGTTTACAGAGACTGGAGCAGAATGGCAGGCCTTGGAGCTGGCAGGAGCTTGCTGTCTTGTAAGAGAGACTGGAGAGATGGCTCAATAGTTAAGAGCATTGACTGCTCTTGCAGAGGACCCGGGTTCGATTCTGAGCACCCACATGGAGGCTAACAACTGTTTGTAACTTCAGTTCCAGGGGAATCTGACATCCACTTCCAAGGGCATTGCATGACACGGGTGCACTTGCACACATGAGGGCAATATACTCATATACACAAAATAAAAATAATAAATATTTTTTTAAAAAGAAAGTTACTAAGATTGAGATACTCACAGCACATTTTCATGATGATATCCAAGATCTCGCATTCCTGAGAAGGGAAAGATAAGAATATTAATGTGGGCTGGGCTGAGGCCCTTCCTGGTCATCTCTGGGAACCCCTGGGGGTTAGGCTGGTGCAGAGGCTTCTCATAGCCCAGGGTGTTTCTGGTTCTGCCCCCAGGAAACAAGACACAGTGTATTCGCTAACAAATGGCTATCCCGTGTTCCCCATGGCCATGTGTCCCCTGTGGTCATCCCATGCCCCAGTGTAAGACTCCAGGCCTCCTCCCTCTGCTGCTCCTATCTGTGAACAGAGCTTCCAGCTCCAGCTTCCACTGATCAAGATCCATGGTCATAGTGGTCAGCTCCAAGATCATATTTACAGACACCCCACTTACATCTGGCCCAGGTGGTCCCACGTGTCCTGGAGGTCCCTGTCAGAGCAAGAACAGACACAGGTTCTAAGTGGACAGCTCTTGCCCAAGTATTCCTGAGTTGTGTGTCCTCTGGGGACTCTAGTGTCCTAACCTCCTTTAGGGCAAACCTCATCCTTTTGAGTCCTCCTGGCTCCAGTCTCAGACTCTTGTGTGTGGCCCCATCTTGCCTCCACCCCAACCCCTGCAGCCACTTTACCCACCTGGGGTCCTTCCAAGCCACGGTACCCCTTTGCCCCTTTGACCCCGCGGGGTGAAATGTCATTGTTCTGGAAGGAAACAGCATGGGGTCAACAGGCACAGTCACATGTGCCCAGCTGTCCTCACTCCAGCCCAGCTGCTCCACTCCTCGGAGCGCATCTCCTCCAGCGTGTCCTGCTCCAGTGTTCCAGGGAGCAAAGCCAGCAGGGATCACACTCCCGAGAAGCTCTGACCCCTATCCCACCCCACTTACATCCTCTCCAGGGTCCCCGGCTTCACCCTCATCCCCCTTGAGGCCAGGGTAGCCTTTTGTGCCCTGCAGGTAACAAAACACAAGTATTAGTGGGATCTTGGGGATGGAGGAGGCAGAGAAGGTGGGTGTAGTTTGACTGGACTGTCCCTGAAACCAATGACGTGATCCCCAGGGTCACATATGAGAGAGAGAGAGAGTGTGTGTGTGTGTGTGTGTGTGTGTGCGTGCACGCATATGTGTGCATGCACGTGTGCGCATGTGTGTGCATGTTCGTGCACGTGTGAGTGCATGTGTGTGTGCGTGTGCACGTGTGTGCCTTGTGTGCACGCGTGCGCATGTATGTGTGCATGTGTGTGCGTGTGCCTTGTGCGTGTGTGTGCATGTGTGTGTCCATGTGTGTGTGTGTGTGTGTGTGTGTGTGTGTACTGCCTGATCTCACATGGAAACATGGGTACACTGTGTTCACAGTGTGGGGATGACAGTGCAGGCCTGTTTGGGGGTGCAGGTGCCAGTGTGTAGAGTGAACACACACTGTGGCCAAGGAGAGGCAGGGTAGGAGTACTTACATTCAGCCCAGGGGGGCCCCTGCTGCCTGGATACCCCTATGAAAGAAGACAGGATAAAGTGATACTGGGTTCTAATGGGGAATCAGAGGAGGATGGGCCTGGGCCTTGCAAAAGCCCAGGTACCAAGTTTCTGGACTAACTGATGGCACTGGCCTATCCCACCCATTCAGGTACCCAAACGTACCCAGAGGGTACCAAGGGGGGCTTGGTGGACATGTAAGGAGGCCTGTGGTACTCACAGGAAAGCCTGGGAAACCTTCGGTGCCATTTCCTGGGGGACCATCTTCACCCTGAGAGAGCAAAGAATGTTGTTATCACCATGTGTGATGCTGGCAAGATGGCTAGGGATAGTGCAGGCATAGGCAGGCTATGCCCCTGGAGTCCCCTCCTGTCAGCCAAGGAGGAGCTCCCTCTCTAAGTCTTCCCTGGGACTCCCTTTCCCTGGATTGGATCTTGAAGCAAGAGGGTCCTGGCTGAGGCATCCTCACCCTTGGGAGCCAACTGTGGGCACACCCCCACCAGTTCCCCCAGAGGCCAGCTCATACCAGGCCCAGCTACCAGAGTCTCTGGCCACCCAGCAGTATCCCAGCAGGGCTATTTTCCCAGATACTCACCCTTTCACCCATCAACCCTGGATCTCCAGGGGGGCCGGCAGGTCCTGGGGCCCCTCTGAGACCCTAAAGGAGAAGGAAGGATGGCAGCTAGGTCAGGCAGTGTAGGTTTGGGGCACAATGTCCTCCCAGGAACCCAGGTCTTCCCAGGACAAGAGAGGACAGAACAGGTGCAGGGATATAGAACTGGCATCCTTGGTGAGCAGCACAGAGTGGGCAGGTACTCACCTCAGGGCCTGGGGGGCCCTCATCACCTCGGTATCCTTTAGGTCCAATGGGGCCAGCCTCACCCTGAGAGATGGAGACACAGTGAGACTTCAGTTTATCATACCCAGGCCAACCCCACTCTGAGGGTCCCAGACCATGGGATGCCATCTCAGATGGAGAGACTGGGCTCCACCACAGTTTTCTTAGAGCCCTGAGCACAAGGGTGGAGGATCCTCAGGGTCCTGTGACAGGTAGGGCCAGGGGCCAGCATAGGGTATGGTCAGCCTGGGCTCTCCCCAGGTCTCTCCAGTATCCATGCCAAGCCCTCACTTGGGGTTCCACCATTGGCTAGGGTGTGTGGGTAAGCCTTCTGCTCATGAGACTTCAATAGCTGCATTACCCTGGGAAGGGCCTCCACTAAGGGCCTTTGGGCTACACTGGACCCCACACAGAATGAACTACCCTCACCGTGTCTCCATACCCTTTCTCATCAGGCCTCCAACCACATGGCCACAAAGACAACCCCAGATTCAGGCTAGGCCTGCTTCTGAGATTCAAGACCCACCTGCCAGGTTCGCTCCTCAGGGCTCTGGGGAGCCACACCTGAGGCCCTCAGTGCTGCCTTGGGACTGAGCCTGGCTATACTAGCCCTGGCACTCCAGGCCCCTCTGGTTTCCTGGGCTGTGTGCTGGGCTCCCTTGGGCCTCACCATGTCTTATAAGGCTCTTATACTCCATGCGGGGGGGGGGGGGCTGTGTTTCCAAGCTAACCCTTGGGCCCTCATCTCCACAGTGCCATCCCCCTGACCCTCAGTCTTGCCTCACAGCCTGACTCACTCACACTCTCAGGGGTGCATCACTGCCCTCTGGGCTAGTTTGGTCCTGAGAACCTCAGCACCTGAGCCAGAGCACAGGAGGATGCAAGCACTAGTTGTCATGGAGCTGTGAGTGCCCCCCTAGCCTGTCCCCACCAGTTGGGACCCTGTGTCGTAGGCTTATCCACTGGCTCTGGCATTAGGTTATGTCCTTATAGGGCAGCCAGTAGGGACTATGGCATCCACCACACACTCCCCGTAGCTTCCAGTGGTTCTGTGCTGGTGGCATAAGTGCTACCAACAGCCTGCCTCCACCTGGACTGAGCAGATCTGTGCTTTGGCTGTATGCCACACTGGGCTTGTCACCACTGCTTCCTCTGTGGCACTCTAACATGGCACATGCTCTTCCTCCTTCCTTCTCACCCACGTTGAGAGCTGGGGACAGAGCCCTGTAGGTGAAATCCTGTGGAGGACACTGTGGTGGCCCCTTCCCCTCTCTGTCTGCACCCCTCCCTCTAGAGTCTGGGACCTTCCTCTTTGTCAGTCCCACACTCTCCCCTCCCCAAGCATGAGATGGTTTCACCCACACCCTGAGATGCTGTAACCTCTGTATGTCAATATTCCCAAACTTACTTCCAGTCTCATATCCATCTCCCAGGGATTCAAAGAGTTTGTCCCCATCTACCTCACAGCCTAGTAACTCACCTCTGCCCTCATTCCCAGAGTCTTGCTCCCCATTGTGGCCAGGTCTCTATTATCCCCATCCACAGCACTGTTAGGTCCTGTGAACGTGACAGCTCAAAGCCAGAGCTCTGGGGTGGTGTGGGTCTGCACATGTGTCTCTGTGTCCCACAACCTCTATCTCTTGGCCTCACACTGAGCACTGGGCCCTGGGAGCAGGGCCTACCCTCGTCCATCCATACCCAGCCCAGCCCAGGCTGGCTCTGATCACCTGTAGGAGGCACCCCCCATGCTGAATTACTAGGAGCATTCCTGTCCCAAGATCTGAATGGAATCCTTGGCTGAGTCTTAAGTGGTATGTGAACCAAGTTGTGAGACATCCCCATCCTCTGCAAATGTGGTAGGATTCCTACCGGGTCTCCAGGGATGCCGACAGGGCCTTCTCTTCCCTGGTCACCTTGGGGTCCAGCTTCGCCCTGGGAAGAAATGAGCCTATGAGTGTGGAGTTTGGCTTGGTGACCATGTGAGGCACTCTGGTGAGTGTTGCAAGGAACTTCTGGGTTCAGTACTGGGGGCTAAGGCTGGTGCTGCCTGCAGTTTCTCCTTCTCCAGTAGGCCCACTAATGAGCAAGTCTCTGACAAGATGTGGACTGATATCCAACCTTGATGTCCAGAGCCTTGAGCAGTTCCCATCCTCCATGAGAAAGAGGAGGATGAAGCTTAGATACTTACTGGGCTTCATGGCCAGCCCCGGGGTTCTATGCTTGACTCTGACTTCAGTGTGCCATCCCCTTAGCCTCAGGACACTACTCACCGGGTCTCCCCTTGGGCCCCGCACACCGGGAGTTCCCCGAGGTCCTCCTTCTCCAGGGCCACCCTGTAGAGAGAAGTGGGCATGAGGTTGCCTGCAATTCACTGCTAGAAAGGGTTAGGGCTTGAGGCCAAGGCTCGACCTTCCCCAGCTGTCTCTGCTGTCATGCCAGACCATTCCAGAGACAGACCTCCCTGTTCCTCAGGACCACCTGCCTCCACATGCCCCCAAGGAACCCAGGGCCCAGCACATAATCACAAGGTAAACCCAGGTTGGCTGGGGTCGAGCTTCCTGCCTGGCCAAGGAACCCAGACAGAAGTACCAAGGCCCTGTGGTGGCCAGGCCTAGGCCTTGCCATGTGGCAAGGACAGCAGCAGGACATCAGCCAATAGACTCACCCTCTCTCCAGGGGCACCATCTGGACCAACGTTCCCCTGGGACAAGGAGGAACACAAGCATTAGTTTGTGCACTAGCCTGTGTTCAAATCTCAGGTGGAGACAGAGGCTGGGGAGGGATGGGGGTGTTCACCTCATCACCGGCCTCTCCTTTCTCTCCAGGGGGACCAGGCTCTCCAGGCTCACCCTGGGGGATGACAAACATAGAATGACCATGAGCCCCAGCATCTAGGAGACTGATCCTATCTCATTTCATGCCACCTCATCTCACCTCATCTCCAGGTGGCCCTGAGCTCCCTGGTCTCCCCGCCTCACCATCTGCTCCAGCTTCACCCTGGGGAAGATCAAAGAGGTCATGGGTGCTCAGTCCAGAGGTACAGCCAGGCCTGTTGTGGAGCCCAGTGACTGTATGCTCACCCTCCTACCCAAACCTCAGGCCACCCTGACCAAACCTGTGTGTGCTCCAGTCTCCCAGGATCCTCCCAACCCATCCATGGCTGTACAGCACAGCCCTGACCATCTCAGCCTCTAGCCCTCTCAGGTTCAGACTTGAGCTTCTGAAGGGCCAACTCTGTCTGCCCACTGAGGCTGCAGAGCTGTGCTGCTCAGAGTCACGTTTGTCCCTCACACTGTGGGTCAGGAGTAAAATCTGACCCAAGACTTACTGGACGTCAAAGTCTCCATTCTTGAGGGGCAGCCTGTCACCTACCTTTTCTCCTTTCAGTCCAAAGGCACCAGCATCACCCTTGGGGCCCGCGGGTCCTTGAATTCCCTGGTGAGAAGATGCAAGTGCAGGTCACAGCTAGGCAGAGTTCCCATGGACCCCAAACAAGCAGCCATTCTCAAACTTTTAAAACAAATCAAATGAGTCCACACAGCCCAGCCATCGAGGGGCGACAGTACGGTAAAGTTTGGACCAAGTTCTCAAGAACTCCATGGTTCCAAAATATGGAGGGAGGGAGTGACTTACATCGAATCCTGGCGAGCCCTTGCAACCTGGCAGCCCTGGGTATCCCATTTCCCCCTGGGAGGAGGAAAAGAGGTCAAGATTGAGATGGTCGAGAGGGCACCTCAGCTCTGCCCCTCCAAGCCCCTCCCAGAAATGTAGCAGCCTGCTAAACCTAATTGGGAAGTTTGGGTGGGGGGCACGGGGACCTGGGAAATACCTCCTGAGCTCACACCTCTGAGTCTCCTGAGAGGGCCCACCATGGAACCTTACCCACCCACCTGGGGCAGCCCTTCACTTAGTCCGCCTTTCATCCCAGACAGCGTGCACCACCCACCCTGCCTCATGACTACCTTCATGCCATCCACTCCATCGATGCCACGCTTGCCCTTCTCACCCTGGGAAGCGCCGAGACAAAAGAAGGTCAGATGAATCTCAGGTAAGCACCAGCCCTGGGCCCATGGGGGCCACTCATGTCCATAACCCACCCACACTCACCTTGTAGCCTTTAGGTCCTCTGGAGCCCTGTGGAGACAGGAAGGGAAGGTGAAGGGTGGCCCCTACCTGAGCCAGAGGACAGCTCCCACCACACTCTGGTTCTCCCAGCAGGTGTGGGAGAGGCAAGTGGGTCCACTGTGAGTGCAGCACTCTCCCTCTCCCTAACCCAAAAGAGCAGGAATCTCACAGACCAAGGGCACAAGAACAGAAAGGGTGGGAGGAGGTCAGGGCCCTCCAGCAACGGCAAATGCAGGTGGGAGAGGTGGCTACCATCCCCAGACCCTCTGACCTAGGAGCCCTGAGATGGCAGCAGAACTCAGGGACCCATCCTGGGGACCAGATGCATTCTCCCAGAGGCACAGAGTGGACCAGGAGGGTCTGTTGACCATGCTCCTCCCCACAGAGACACTAGCCGTTCCCCTGAAATACTCATCAGGAGAGAAGACTCTGTACCTAGGACATAACCTAAAGCCGGCCCTCACTCACCTTCTCCCCACGGCTCCCTTTTTCTCCCTGTGAACCAAAGAAAAAGAGGAATGCGTTATTGTTGTATAGGGCAGTTCGTACCATGCAGCCAAACCCCAATCCATCCCACCCTACCCAAGAGAAGTTTCTGGGACCAAGGGACATGTACCTTCATACCCTGGTACCCGACTGGTCCAAGGTCCCCGGGTTTTCCCTGGAAAAGAGAGGAGACAGTCAGACATCGCTGGACAGCAGGGGCAGGTCCCAGCCAGCCCACCTCACCTCTCACTGCATCCCAGGCCCAGCCAGCTAGAGAGACCCAGACAGCATCTGAGAGTGACCTGCTGCAAGGACCTTCAAGGTCTCCAGGATCTCCATGATGAGCTCGAGGAGGGAGCCCAGGATACCCAGGAGAAAGGAAAAGGGGAGTCAGGGCACCTTTGAGGGGGAGAGGAGCCAGGGTACCCTCAGAGGATCAGGAGGGGGACAGAGATTGTGGGGAGATAAGCCACGATCTGAAGCAGAGGCCCTTGGCCTTTGTTGGCCCGGAACAGCCCCAACAAGGGACAGGCTGTGTGAACTCTATGTTCAGACACTATCATTCTGTAAGTTTCTTCAGCCTAGATCCCCAGCCTCAGGCTTCTCAGCATCCACCTCATCCCTGTGCAAGCAGGCACTCAGCACTCACGGGGTCTCCAGCTTCTCCCTTCTCTCCTGGAAGACCTGGCTTTCCTCGCTCTCCCTGGAAGACAGAGGAGACCATGTCAGGGGCTATGCCCATTTGTTCTGAAAAGCTAGGCCAGATTTCTTATGCATGAAAAAGCTCTTTAGAGATAGTCCATCTTGGCTCCAGAGCCCTGACCATGGCTCTGGGAGTCCCACTGAGGATCTTCACTCTGCCCCCTGGCTGGGCTTGTGCTTAGAGCTGTGACTCTGCCCACAGGTTCTCAGGGATGGGCTGGTCTTCTGCCTCCAGGCTCAGGTGAGCAGGGATACCCAGCACGAATGTCCCCTGGAGAGCCATAGCTCAGTTCTGTGGATGATGGCCATATGGCTGGAAAGCCACCATGAACCTGAACATCCTTAGGGATTGACATTCCTGAGCGGTCCCCAGGATGTTGAGAATTGTCTTGTGTGAGTCACAGTAGGGCTTGGACCCCCAGTTTCATGTCCACCTCTACCAAAGGCCCTTCCCAGAGCCAAGTAGATACCAAACTGACACTTGGGCCTGCAGGCAGCCTCCTGGATTACAATGAAGAGTCCCTGCACCTCTAACTCCCATGCCCAAAACCCACATTAGCTCATGCCTAGACTTTCTCTTTGGACAAAAGCACATTTCCAGTCTGTGCTGAGAGTGTGAGGTGCCTGGTGGCTGTGGTTCCTGGTGGCTTCACCCCAACATGAACAAGAGCAATTTCAGTCACTTACCTCATACCCAGGGTCACCCCGGGGCCCCGGTGGTCCTCTGGCAGGCTAAAAGAAACGAGACACTGTGTTCAGCCACAGACCCCAGACAGGGGGCCCGGGGTCAGGGAGTAGGGAGGGCCACACTTACCTGGCACTCGAAAGAGCAGCACTGTGGGGGGGGGAAGGCACAGGAGACCAGTCAGAGAGCCCAGAAGCAGGGGCAGATGCCCCAAGATGCACAGGCAAACACACTGGTAACATGCACACTGGTATACACACTCTACACAGGTGGTACATGCCCAGAGCTCAGACCAACATAGAACATGCACCCTCACACGGCTGGGGGTAGGCCCTTACCACTTGCTCCACATTGTTTTTCTGAAATGGAAATTGAAGAGTGAGTTACTCCCTCTTCAGAGTGCATTGCCCCACCCTCCCACGGAAAGCAGTTCTCACAATCATGTCCACGATGGTGTCGATGGTCTGGCTGATGGCCTCCTCTGCATCGCGGCTGTGCCCCCAGTCAGCTGCTGTGAAGTTGCGCCGGTACGTGTGGTCTGTGGCGATGATGCTTAGACGTGGCTCCTGGGAGCATGGAGGAGAGGATGAGCTTGGCCACCCCACAAGGCCATGGGAAACCATGAGCAGAGTGGGGGTTACAGGGCCAGCACAAGGAGACCCAGATCCTTAGTGGGGTGGGGTCAACCCTGTGAAGTGCTAGGACTATTTACTGAGGTGTCCCCACTCCAGGGGCCGTAACAGGGGCACAGAGGTTGGGAGTCCTTGAAGCAGACATTCTGCATCTACCCAAGCGACAGCAGGAATGAGCACAACAATGATTCTAGGGACTGGGGACAGCAGGGGCCTGAAGGCTCCCCACCTTGTGTGTTGGGGACTTAGGAGGAGGTAGAGCCTTACTAGGTGGTCAGGTGTGATGGCCACAGAGAAGACTTTGATGCCCAGGTGCTTGGCCTCATTCACTGCATCCTCCAGGCCCCCACAGGGCTCCTTGTAACCCTCCAGCGGGTGTCCGTCAGTCACTACAATCAAGTACTTGTTCTCCTTTAAGTGGGAGCCCCTGGAAGGAGGAGTAGCATGAGACCCCTCTCCAGGGTTCCCCAGTTCAGAGCCTTGGAGCCAGAGCTGGGGACCTGAGGCCACTCTGGACACAATTGCCCCTCTGCCACCCAGGAATCAACATTCCCCATTGATCCTGATTACAAAGTGTCAGGTAGAAAATAATGTCTTGTGGGGCCACATTTCTCTATAAAACCACTTAGAAATGCACACTGTGAGGAGAGGCACAGGCTTGCACCTTGCACCCCAAGAAGGCCTCAGGTAGAGATGTTTTGGACCTGAAGCCCCTGAGAATGAGGGAAGCAGGAGTGATACTGGACTGATGGAGGCTCCTGTGGAACGCAGCTGGTGTCAGAGGCAGGGCGGCCCATAGACATACTCAAATCATTGCACCCTGAGAGGTGCAATAGGCCTCCCCCGAGAAGGGGTCGGAGTGGAGTAGGTGACCACAAAGACATTGGGGCTTTTCTACATGTTGGGAACCATACCACATGTGCTTTCAAAGACATGTTTCAAGTTTACTCTGTAGCCTGCACAGTGCAGCTCTAAATTCCCAGGCCATGCCCTCAATCCAGCTACCACCTCACACAGTTGTCCCATCCCCTTCACAGATAGGAGACAGGGCCTGGCCCACCCTGTGCAACTTCAGTCACACATTACTTCCAGTGTTGATGTGCATAGGCTAAAGAGGTCAGAATGGGCCCAACCTTGCAGCCTTACACTGCTGCAGTGTCTCCAAGACCAGTCACAGAAGGGCAAAGTGGCAAAGAGACAGGTGTCCTCCCCTGAACTGGCTATACTAGGCAGCTGCCACCATGGGAGGCTGAGTAGAGGATGTGCAACCTGTGGCTACCCCCCTGGTCATGGGGCACTCTGTAAAGGGTAGGGTCACAGCTACCCCTTACCCATCAGTCCAACACCTGGGCCATTGTTGGAAGGCATATATCTCCCTGAGGGTGGATCCTCAGACCAACACATGATATAAAGTGAAATGGGAGCTGCCATGCAGTAGGACCTCAGCTTGGGGTTCCAGCCCCTCTTTGCTGTGACTGTGCCACAATAATGGGCTTCTCTGTGTGTGTCTCTCTGTCAGTATCTCTGTTTCTTCTCTATGTCTGTTTCTGCCTCATTCTGTCTCTATCAGCTCTGTGTGGCCTAGGTGGGATAGTGATGGGCCATTTAGCTCACTGATTGAGGCGACTGTGGCTGGGACATGGGTGGGTGGAGGGTAGGGCATGACCCTGAGGTCCCTGAGCAAGGGAGATGGCTTGTGGCCACAGCACGGTGCTTCCTAGGAAGGGTTTCTCAGCCCAGTGCTTGATTGGCAGTGAGCGGCCTGATGGAAGCTTGCCTGGCCATGAAGTTGGTCAGGGAGGCCTGTAGCCCATGGTTGAGAAGGCCTATGGGCATAGCGACCTGAGGCTCGCCTGGCTGACATGGCTAGACACAACTGGTACCAATTTGGTCACTGCAGAAGGTCCCGTGTCACTTACCCTATGAGAAGCTCCTCCAGCCCCTTCTTGATTGCACAGTCAGTGTAAGTGCCCTTGCCGAAGTACTTGACTGCATCCACACTAGCCTTGAGCTCATCTCGCCCGCTGGGCATGCGTGTGAGCCCACGGATAATCTCTACTTCATCACTATAGTGCAGTGCACCCGCGTTCCAAACCAGGTTTCTGTCACACCGGTAGTATCTGTGAGTCACAGGTGGGGTGGGGTGGGGTGAGGGAGGGTCAGCAAGACCCCCAAGGACATATCAAGTCTGGCCTTCATGGAAGGACCTGCTATCCCACCCAACAGTGCTGTGTCCCTGTCTCACAGATAGGAAGGTGGCCTGGGCCCTCTAGTAGAGAAAGGTGTTCCCTATACCTGGGCTGCACAGTGGAAGTGGCTAGGAGAGCTCAGACAAACCAACTTGAGTCTCAGTTGAGGGTTTGTGAGCAAGACCCCAGCTGGGGCCACAGACCCCTGTGCACAGCAGAGGGACTAGGTGAGGGTGGAGGTGGAGGCATGCCAGCTCTATAACGTGGGAATTTCTGGAGTGAGTCCAAGTGATCTCTACTCTGTTCCATAGCACCTGGCCCGTGGCTCTCCAGGGTTTGCCACAGTACCCACCTGGCCTTTCAGGAGACAGAGTGACTAAGGCCCCTGCAGTAAAGCTAATGGAGGTATAAGTCTACCCCATCTCAAAGGTGGGAAACTGAGGCACAGGTAGCTGAGTAAAGGGACTGCCTTCTGCATCTGGGCCTCCCTTCTCCTCCCCATGGCCCTGGGCATTTTCACTAAGTTAAGGTTTCTAATCCCCGAAGTCCCTGAGTTGATCAATTCTGGGGGTGAATGGTCCTCTCCAATCTGAGGAGCCCGCTGTCTCTACATGCAGGCCGTGGGCTCTGGGCAAGTAGTCGGCAGGGTTGAGATCTACACTAGTTAAGTCATCATCCCCACACCAATTGACCACTGTGCTGTGCCTTTCTAGGGGAGGGGGATCGTTATCCTCCTTGGGTCCTGCCCTAAGTCACACCCTCTGTTCATAGTGCCCTTGAAGGAGGGAGTGAATGAAGGGCTCGCTGCTTCCCCAACTCCCAGTCCCTGTGTTGGAGACATTGGGGATGTCTGGCCTAGGACCTAAGCAAACTTTCATGCCCATGCGGGCCCAGGTAGGGTCCAGCCGCATGCAGAGCCACAGGCACCGGTCATAGCTGCACATCTGGCTGGCGCCTCCTGTTTGCTTAGGGCTGAGATTCCTTGACAGCATTTGGGGTCAGGGGACACTATATCTCCATACTCAGCACTGTTCCCTCAGCTCTCCTTGGGCACGGTGCCTCCTTCCAGCTGTGCCACCTGGCACTTAGCCTCCCTCCTGCCCTCCTGAACTGGGTAGACACAGGGAGGAGCTCTAGGCAGTTTTTCAAGTAGGAAGTTGAGGCTCAGCTCTGAAGGTCCAATCTCCTGGGCCCATAGAGATGTATGACAGGCCAAAGCAAGCCCACTCTACCTGTCTCTCAGGTTGTCGATGAAGCGTTTGGTGAAGGCCTTCACCTTGTCCACCAGGGCCCCATAGGGCTTCAGCCTCAAGGCCACACTCTCTGAGGTGTCCAGTACGAAGAATAGATCCACAGGGCAGTCTGGGCAAGGAAATGTCTTATGAGCCATGCCCTGAGCGTCTCTGGATGTATCAGGCCCCTTCAGTCATGCCCACACAGGCCCTGGGCTCCCTGAGGCCCCATCCATTCTCACCAACAGAGCTATGGGCAGGGGATCTGCAACCCAGCCCCTCGCCTGCCTAGAAAGCAACAACCAGCAGGGGTCAAGCAAGAGCCAAGCCCAGGGGTGTCCTATCCCTAGAAGAGAGACTTGCTCAGTTAGAGTGGCCTTGGCCAGCTTATGGAGGTGAGGCGCTCTCCTGACCCTGGAGGGATGGAACTGGACAGAGAAAATTGTTTCTCAATATGTTTTTAGGTTCGACTCAAAGCCACCAGGACCATGGCCATGCCAAAGTATGAGGGGACAGGTCACCAACTAGATTGGCTGCCGGGCAAAGAACGAATGTCAGCACTGGCACTTGACAGTCACTCACTCAGAACAGGAAACCGACCTGAAGTTGTGACCACAACTCCCCTCACCAGGTAGGTCCCTCTGGAATTTTGCAGCCTGATATTTCCTTATCGTGGAGAGACCTGAGGTGACAGGACCCCAGGACCTTGAGGGAGGAGGCAAATGTTCCAGCCGCCTCAGAACAGGAACCGAATGGAATGCAGGCTTAGATCAGGGGCAAAGCCCCTTCCCTGGGGCTTGTCACAGGGTGAGGACAAGGGGACAAGGGACAGTGATGGGGGGCCACGGGGCCTTGAGCCCATCCACATTTAGGTAGCTAAACGCAGGAGTCCAGCAGCACATCCTGTTCACTCACCTTGGAAGGCGATGGCCTTGGGGGGCCCCAGGACGTCCTGTGCAGCCACCCAGCAGGCCTGTAGCAGCAGTGGCAGCAGAACACAAGCCAGCCTCATGTTGCTGGCTGGCCTGCCGGTCACCATCAAGCGCAGGCTGGGGTCAGGGTGGGCGTCTGAGATGGCAGAGTGAGAGGTTGTCGGCTTGCTGCAGTTACAGCCCAGGGCTGGCTGGAGCCAGGGAGGATGGAGGGAGGGAGGAAAGGAGGGGCAGGGAGGGAGGGGCCAGGAGAGGAGGGGGAGAGGAAGGGGAGGGCCACAGAGCTGGGTGAGTCACAGCAGCGGGTCTCTGGAATCTTGTGAAGGAAAAGCCCTTCTCCTCTGGAGCACTGCGAGCTGGGACACTCCTAGGCTGTGGGATTACACTTCCCACAGCGTGCAGGACTTTCAGCTGCTCACAGTTGACTGTCCTGTGTGTGTGTAACATAAAATAAAATGCAATGTGGAAGAAATATGTGATCCAAAGAGAAGTCCACAAAATATTTCTAGTTTCGTTCTAAACGCTGCCTTGTAGAACTGACTGGCTGAATCCACTGTTATGAGTGCCAGCTCGACTCCCACACCCACTGCTTTCACAGGCTCTGGAGGGGTTTCATGTAGATATTTCTTCAGTTTAGTCAAATATTTATTTGCTAAAGATATTTTGATCTTTACTATGGAAAAACCAGGTTGTCAACAACCATATAGATGGGTTCGTGTGTGTGTGTGTGTGTGTGTGTGTGTGTGTGAGTGTGCATTTGTGTGTGTTTGAGTGTGTATGTGTATGTATGTGTAGGTGTGTGCATGTGTGTTTGTGTATGTCTGTGTCTTTATGTGTGTGTGAGTGTATTTGTATGTGTGCGTGTCTATGTTTGTGAGTGTATTTGTGTGTGAGTGTGTGTGTGTGTGTGTGTGTGTGTTTGTGTGTGTGTAGACTGATAGTGTCCCAGCAGTGAAAGGTCCAAATGAAGCCAGAGCCATCTTCCCCAGAAGAGTGCTGTAGTTAATATTTTCTTGATATCGGGCTGAATGTTTTTATAATATAAAAACAGACGATTTGATTAAAAATCTTAATATGGTTAATAGAAAAGAGACTTTTTAAAATAACTGTCATTTTAACTTAATCGTTTCCTTAATTTCTTAATTTTTAAAAAAATTTTATTTATTGTTTCTATTTTTTATGTGTATGAGTGTATTGCCTGCACGTATGTGAGCGTACCCTTGTCGTGCAATGCCGCAGAGGTCAGAAGAGGGCTTTGGAATCTCCTGGAACTGGAGTGAAGGACGGTTCGTAGCTGCCATGTAGGTGCTGGGAATTGAACGTGGGTCCTCTGCAAGAGCAGTCTGTGCTAACCACTGAGCCATCTCTCTAGCCCCCAGAAAAGAGACTTTGAAGACAGCCAATGGCCACACTTACCCAGTACTCCATGCGATTGCTCCCCATATTCTCTCCACACCTGCCCTACAGAATGTGTCACCACAGCTGGTGATGTGCTGCCTTCCTGCCACTAATCTCATGCCCTCCATGGCTTTGGGCTGTGGCTCCATACCACACGCATGGCCTTCTTGAGGATTTGGAGCCTCTGAACTGTGTCCTCTGCAGGGTGGCGGCTCTCATGTGAGGAGGTTTGGTGAAAAGGACAGGAAAACTGAACAATAAAGACAGCTCCAATCCTGTAGCCCAGGGCCTGCTGTGGTTGCACTGATGGACACCCTGAAGGATGCACTGATGGATGCACTGGCAGATGCACTGGCAACCATGTTGACTCCTACATGCTGGACTGAGGGGTTAGGGGACTACTAAACCTGGGAGGTGGCGGGGGCCCGTAATACAGCAATGATAGCTGATGAATGGGGTCACACAGGCACAGTCACAGGGCCCTCCTGATCTGGCTGCTCTGCAAGCTCTGCAAGGCGTTTGTATGTTGGGTTTGTATGCATGGCAGGTCATGGGGCAGTAGATGAAGGGTGACCACCAGTGCATCAGTCTCCTGACCCCTCATTGTACCATGTGGCAGACATTGATCACCATCCCTGCCTCACCTCAGTCTGTGCTTCCCAGAATGGGTAGATGCTATGGAAAAGACAGTCTCACGTGGAGGTGCAGTCCAGTGTTGAAGTCTGGTGTGGGCCGAGGGAGTTCTGCCCAAGGAGCTCAGAGCAGAGCCTTCACATGGCTTTGTTACTTTCCTTTTACAAAGCAGGAACCAGCGAGTCTGGTACAGGAACATGGGCCTCACACAGAGGGAGTCAGTACTTGTGTGCTGTGTACCTCAGCCCAGGCACCCCACCTATATACCCAGTGACCCTGTACCACCTGCTCTTCCTCTCCTCAGGCTGGTTCTGTGGACAGCAGGAGAGCAGAATGCAGAGAGCAGAGGAGGGTCCAACTGCCTGGTTGCTGCCACTCTTATATGTAGCTCTCCCCCACTGCTCCTCAGCTTTTCCCTGGTCTGTCTTTTTTCTGTCTTCTATGTCTCTGTTCTCCTCCCCTCCCCTCCCCTCCCCTCCCATCCCATCCCCTCTCTCCCAGCATCACTTTAGGGCCCTCCTGGCACTGCTCAGGTCATCTCTGGCCGAGCTCCCTGCTATTCACCTGTCTCAAATCTTTGCTAGGCTGTGAGTTACTATCATGAGCTATACCCCTTCTGAGTGGTGTGCTTCTGGGCCAACTTGGACCTTAGTGCTGGGAGTGTTCTAAGGATTGATCACTAGAGAACTAGGGCTGGAAGAGGGTGTGACAGGGCCTTGAGCCTCTACCCTGTGTAAGTGTACATGTGTGTTCACCTACACGTGTTCAAAGTGTTGCAGGAAAGGGCAGGGGGTGGCAAGCTCACAGCTCTCTCCCTGTGACCTGTGGTTCCAGACCAGGCTCAGTGGAACCTGCCAAGCCTCAAGCACCCAGGCAAAGTGGTTGGGGTCAGTGTGTCAGGTGGGCAGCAGGAAGACCCACAAACACAAGATGACTAGACAGGAGGGGCAGACAGGAAGGGGAAGAACATGAGTGAGTGCATGAAGGCTCTTTCCTCTTCCCAGCTCCCTTGAAGTATGAGAGTCATGTTTTTTTCACACCCAAAAAAGTGAGTGAAAACTAGAAAGAATGAAAACCCGTGGAAACTGCCTGTGTCTGCCCCAGGGGCTCTGGAAGCCCTGGAGTCTCAGGCTTGGTCAGGAGGGAGGGAAGAGTCACCTCTTTCCATGGAGCAACAGCGCCTCCTCTGCCAGCAGAGGGCCAGTCCCAGCAGCTCAGAGCCTTCCAGCTTTTTGAGAAGGAAAGTTTTAATTTTTTTAGGGAAGAAGACTGCATTTAGGAAGGTAAGGGTGTTTAAACCCACTCAACTATTTCTTAGTGTACACAGCCCCAAACATCACACCACACCATCTTGGGTACAGTTTTTGTCTATCAGTTAGAAACATTTTAGAAAACCAAAAGGTAAATAATACACCCCTGCTTTTGCTTTAAGAATCACAGTGGCTCTAGGTGAGTTCTGAGGGATGGCAGGTCCCTGCCTCTGTGGGGCCAGGTGGGGCCAGGTAGTCAAGGACAGGTGGGGAACCCTAGTGCCTGCTGGAGTGGAGTGGGTCCCATACATGGTGTCCCCTGCCAGGAAAAGGCAGAGCTGGGACTCAAGGGCTTTATGAAGGGGGCAGTGAGTCAAAAGGGAGGAAGACCACAGACAGGAGAGGCCCAGGCCCTACTCTGGTCTCTAGCCAGGGCTCTTCCCTGATGGTAACACACTGGTTACCACTGGTTACCACTGCCCTACAAGTCTCAGAGCAGGTCTGCCTGTAAAGAGAGAGATCCCCAGAATCTGTGAGTCTTGGGTGGTGACCACCATGCCAGCCCCTGGATTTCCTGTGTATCCTGAGGCCTCCCAGTGCCTGCCCACAGACGTGGAGTGGATGGCAGGGACCTTCCATCCACCTGTGCCAGGTGCTTGCGGGTTGGACTATAACCCAGACTGCCCAGAAGCCAGCAGTGCTCAAGATGTATTGCTGCAGAAGCCAGAACATTCGGCCCACGGTCCTGGGTCTTGGGTGGCTGGAGACTCCTAAGCCATGCTCTTCATCCTCTGATGGCTCACTTGGCCAACTATGTAGGACCAAGGATGAGAGGCTTCTGCTGTGAGACCTGCAGGTTATAGCACGAGTCCCCAGTGCCCTGTGATTGAGGGGGACTGCAGCCTGGGAACAGTATCTCCTTGTGTAGAATTCAAGGCTCAGGTTCCCATATGGAGTTTCTGGTTTTAACTACTCGTTGACCACTTGTTGCAGAGGTTCTGCTCTGTGTCTTGAGCGGCCCACTCTAACAGGTTGACGGAGAGCTGAGAGGTATGAGTCTGTCTAGCTGAGGAAACAGGCACAAGGCTGATGCATGGCCCAGGGAGACAGGTCCAGGCTTTGGAATTCCCCTGAGCCCTGGCGCTCTGAGCAACATCCCAGTCGTCTTCCTGCCCTGCCGGGGCAGCTCAGACATGGACTAGTGTCCTCCATGGGCTCCACCTGCCAGGACTGGCTAGAAAAGAGACCACAGAGTCTCCAAGCAGTGGAGCAGAAGACAGATAACAGGAGAGTGCTCCTTGATCTGAGGGTCTATGTCACAGCTGAGAGGTACTGGCTGCCTGCTGCACACAGACCCCTATATCTATCTACTCACTCCTTGAGCTACTGGGCCCCACTCACTGTGCCTCCTGCCACACAAAGGGTGTTAATGTCCGGTGTCCTTGCAGACGGCTTGGCTACCTCCACTTTCACTGGACAGGGGGTCTGTCCATCCTCGACCTTCAGGGAAGGTCAGAAGGAAAGATATCAGGGATTTTCCACCCACAAAAAAAGACCACTTATCTTCAGGGAGGGTGCAGTCACAGTGAGCCCAGGAGGACAGACTTCGAGCTCAGAGGATGGGGTGGCCCAGTGTCTAGGAGCCCACCCTGGGGGCTGTGGGGTTTCCGGAATGTCTGAACCCCTTCCCAAGGTGTGGGCTTTGGAGAGCTGCATTTACTACAGACACCAAAGATCCAAACTCTCTCTGCATCTGCTGAACAAAGACAGCTTTGTTTCTTTTACTGCCTCAACTGTCCAGTGCACTTTCCTCCTAACTTAGAATATGATTCATCAAAGAAAATAATGTTTTCCATGGGCTGCCCTCGGTTTCCATGGTGCCTCACTGTGGACGCTGGAGCTGGCAGGGACGCCTGGCAGGCACGAG